ATATATATTGTTTTGGAATATAATGTCATTTTATTGTTAGATGTGAACATTGAGAGGTTACATATCATTTGGAAAAAAAATATTTTTACAGTTTATATTTGTTTTATTAATAATTTCTTTTTAATATTATGCTTTTATTTTTTTTATTGTTATATATATGAACATTGGGAGGTTACACCTAATTTAAACAAATATGTATTTATTACATTTTTTTATTTATTTTATTATCAAATTAATTTATTAAATTATCGTTTGAACAGTGTTTTCATATTTTGTCTGTTAAATGTGAACATTAAGACGTTACATCTAATTTAAAAAATATGTATCATTAGATTTTATATTTTAATTTCATTATAAAAATCTTTATTTATTTTTTAATTTGTTTTTAGATGTGAGCATTGAAAGGTTACATCTAATCTGAAAAAATATATTTTTTTATTTATTACTTATTTTTTTGCTTTTAAACAAAAGGCTTTTATTGTTTATCTTATTTTTAGATGGAAAGGAGTCCAAATATCTCATGGGTCTTCCACTTCAGAGTTCTCTGTGAGTAATTCATGACTGGGTTTGCTGTGGCCTGTGTTCTGTAGCAACAAATATATCTCTTACTTCCCTTTTATATATGAATCTTCTTTGCTAACTCATTTTTCCGGACATGCAAATTATTGAGCTGCACCTGTATCTTGAATTTCAAGGCATTTGACTTCAGACCGCCTTATTTGGACTCACTGTCGTGGTATTGCATCATTTCATGAGCGTGTCACTAATGTTCTTTTCTCTCTGCTGCAGCTCTAATGGTGTTGCTGGCAGTGTTAGACTTTCTGTTTGTCAATCATTCGTGTCACAGCATTATAACAAGAGGAGCGTCAGTGCAGCTGGTTTTTGGATTTGAGGTGAGCCTCAGTTTAATTCTAGTTTTAGTCTGAAGGAGATCCTGCAGAACTAAATTTCATGAATAATACTAATGAAAAGCCCACTGACCCTAAACCTTCTCACATGGTGTCCCATAACTTGTTGCTTGTCATCTTAGCAGTTGAATATATTTTATACTACTAGAGATTTAAAATAACAATGGCTTAACAGTAATATGAATGGTGTGGATGTACCGTAAACGCTTTCTGCTTGTCTTTCAGTATGCGATTCTGATGACTATGGTCCTCACCACCTTCGTCAAGTACACCTTGCATACAATTGATCTGCAGAGTGAGAATCCATGGGACAATAAGGCCGTCTACATGCTCTACACAGAGCTCTTTACAGGTACATCCTGGAGAACCATAGCATGGGATATGTTTCTAAATAGCCCATTCACAGATTGACTGATGTTCCATTTATCCTTCAGGTTTCATCAAGGTGCTTTTGTATATGGCGTTCATGACCATAATGATAAAAGTGCACACCTTCCCTCTTTTTTTTTTGTTTTTTTTTTGCATTTATGTTTAGAAAAATTCCATTTATTTATTTTAATAACTTAATATTGGGCCATGTTTAATATTTGAAGTATTAATTTATATTCTTTTTATATAGTTTTTAAATATTTGTTAGGGAAAAAAACATTTTGTATTTAATGTTTTTCTTAATATTGGGCTGTTTAATTATTTTTTTGTTTGTTTCAGTTTAATTATTTTGCAATGTTTTTATTTATTTCTATTGTATATTTAATGTTTTTTTTATGTTGTGCAGTGTTTAATATGTTTAGTATGTGTTAATAATTTTAGTAATACTAATCAATGACTGCCATGCTTTGTCACAGCTATCCAGATGCCACCCCTGAAGACTTGCAAGCCACTGATAATGTGTGCATCATTTGCAGAGAAGAGATGGTGACTGGAGCCAAGAAACTGCCGTGCAACCACATCTTTCACTCAAGGTTCAGTTCCTCTGCTTATGGAAAAAAATCTCATGTTTCTTTGGTGTTGACATCTGCATGCATATTCTGAATGGTTTGTTCCTCTCATTGTAGTTGCCTTCGCTCATGGTTCCAAAGACAGCAGACGTGTCCGACGTGTCGTATGGATGTCCTCCGAGCGTCCCAGCCAAACCAGACTCCTGCCCCAGCTCCTGCACAAGCACCTGCCCCTGCTGCTCCTGCTAATGCCCCCGTACGGTGAGTGATAAATCATCAGATTCCAGCTATGCTGGTATGTTTTGTCAACAGTTAGAACAGTTTGTATTAATCTTTTGTCGTGTGCAAAATGTTTGTCTTTTCAGGCAATTCAAGAAGGCAGTAACAGATGCCATCATGTCTCGACGAGCCATTCGTAATATGAATACTCTGTGAGTATCTCTCTGAAGTAATTTGAAATATCTTTTAGTGTTATAGTTTGAATTACTGTTAGTTTTCTTTCTTTCATTTATTTAGTTTATTTTTATTAATATAGTGCAGTGTAGTATTTTTTTGTATTTTTTTAATTTTCAGTTAGTATTTATTGTGTTTTGAATTTATTCATTTGTTTTTACAGTTTAATTATGAAAATTGTATTTACTGAGTATCTGAAATAATCTGAAATGTCTTATAATGTGCAAGTGTTATTGTTTGAATTATTTTGTCATTTTTATTAACAGTTTGGTGTAACATCTTTAGTATTC